GCCGTTTTGGGATCGGTACACCTTGAGGAAGGTGTGCCGATCCCACGGTATAATTTGGCTATTCACGGAAGACACATAAAATGCTTGGTGCGTGAAAGTAAAGAAAATGCTGGGGCCAAATAAGATATAAAATCCCATTTTTGTTTAAAGGTTTGTAACTTTTTTATTTGTAATTTAACTTTTATAAAAAATATATAAAAATTCATAATTTTTTATTATCTTTTATTTTCACCAATATTGCATATTTGCATATATAAGATTTGAACAAAGATATTAAAAATTTTAAACCCAAAAATTTTAAATCCAACATTTTTCTTAAATAGATTTAAATAATAAAAATAAGATCTCATTGTTTAAATATCTCTTTTTACATCTTTCACTGTTTTTTTAAATAGCTCCCAAGTAACAAAAAGATATTAAACTCCAAATTTATTCATTCTTGAGTTGGAAAGTTTGGATTTTCAATCATAATTATTTGCAACAAAAAATGGAAAAAACGGTGCATAATAATAAAAGTAAGAATATAATAATAATAATAATAATAATAATAATATAATAATAATAATAATAATAATAATAATAATAAAACTTTGCTAAGTGAATATATTGACGGTACTGGATTGTGGTAAAAATTGAATTGGTTGAGTGAATATGTATAAACTGGTGGAGAATTTAATTTGTTGATGAAATTGGATTACGGTTAGCGGCGAATAGGACTAATAGGGTTTTCACCCTGCTCTCGAGTCTCGACTCTCTCCAGTGGAGTCGTCAGTCTGTATTTACATTTACTTTATTATTGTTGAGCCCAACGGGCTCTTGTGATTATCAATTTCACACGATATATTAGTTGTCAGGATTAGAAAGTTCTTGGGTTTATTATATACTAGGACAATGTACGGAGTACTACGTAGTTGATTAACTTGAACCATAATATGATAAACATATGAGACATTCGCGTGTTAAAAAAAGTCACTTTACAATCAGCTATACCGTTCTTAGGGACATTTTCTACCATGGGCGTGTTTGGTATTCAGCGATTAGCGGATAGCGGATAGCGAATTATGTTAGCGGAATAGCGGCTTGTCAACAGCGGATTCAACCAGCGAGTTTGACTAGCGGAATAAATTGACGGGTTGTTTGAAGATGTTTTTGGTAATTTAGTTGTTTGGCCATAAAATTAGAAGGAAACGCCATTTTTCATAATGTCAACCCAAAACTCTTCTATTAGCATCATTTTTATTTCAACGTTTTCGTCCAAAACGCTAGTGCCAAACCTCAATTTACCAAACAACCTTTTCACTTATTGAAAACGCTGAAAGTGATCAAACCGCCATTTTTTAGCTGAAACGCTAAGGGAGTGCAAGTGGTGCAGTGGAACAGGGCCTCCCCTAAAGGAGGGCCCCCAATTTTAATTCATAGTTTAGTACCATTAGTTAGAGCAAAAAAAAGATTAGAATATTTAATACTCCGTATTTGAGATTTGGCAACAATCGTCGCTTAGGAACTCGGAAAGTCGGAAGAAGGAATCATCCTACAACGATGTGACACTGTGACTCCTCGTAAAACATCCTACAACTTACACAATTACTTTAGGCTATATTAATTTCTTTGTCAATTCCGTTCTACCGAATCTTTTTCTCCAAACAGTTTATGTCAAATAGTTTCTTGTGTTTTCTTTTGAAATCTTGAATCCAAAGTGGAGTTAAAGGATAAGTTCAACCCTTCAAAGTTGCGCTCTGCAGCGTTCAACACTTCAATATTTTTCCATCTATGTATTTAAGGTACTATCATTTTCTTCATCACATGCATATACCTCTATTTTCTTATCTTTAATCTTCTTGAGTAGCCCGACTCTTTTTCATAAGCACACTGCTAATACGTTTTTGGGAGTTATGATGTTTTGTTTGTTAGGGAAATAAAAGAGGCAAAAGCTATTGCTACCCCAATTTGTACCCCATTTTGTACCCCTCCCTATATTTGTGGATCACAAAAGCACTTCATTAATATGGAACAATTCATTTAATGTGTTGGACTTTTGTGAACCACACATATAGGAATGGGGTACAAATGAGGTACCAAATGGGGTACTTTTAGCAAAATTGAATAAAATAATATAGGTCTATCACAAAATGTTTGTACACTTTTCTTAATGATTATTTTAATTTGAATCCCTAAAATTTATGTTTTAGGACCTCCAATTACATTTTGAATAGGGCCCTCAATATGTTCGGGCCGGCCCTGCGTCATTTACCACATACCCCCAATAGCTGTTCCATTATAGTACGTATCGAAGCTTTCATTTTCAATGGAGAGGAGCTTAACAAGTTGTAGCAATGTTCTTTGACCGGCCCATAAATTGAAGCTCATGTTTAAAATGCTTTTTTGAAAAGTGAAGGAAGGTGATTGGAACATATATTAAGGCACGTGCGTTAAAGCTTTTCCGCATTATTTGGGAACCACCCGTTATAGTATTTCATAGGGGTGGGCACTGGGCACGGTCCGATAAACTAGTAAAACCCATAATGTGTCCGTTGGGTTTTTAACGGTCCGGTACAATCCGGTTTCAATGATGAAATTGTTCGGTAGCATGCCATTTCGGAACGGTACAAAACGGTACGGTACAATGCCAAACACATACTAAAATTTTTGAACAAATCTTGCAATTAGTAGATATCTTGACACCAACCAACACACATGAAATGTTGATATAAATACAAAAAATTGCATATGTAGTATTAAAGTTCACAAATACACAAATAATGCAACACAACTAAGAAAAAGTATAGCAAAATGATGACGCGCAAGATAAATATCATCTTTAATTTACTAAGTTAATGTGAAAATATAAAAAAGAATATCATCAAATTGTTGAATATAATAGAAATCTTTAATGTTCTTCTTCTTTGTTCTAGGTTAAATATTTTTTCGTAGTTCTAATTTAATTTATTGTTGAAACTTGAGAGCTAAGATTTAAACCATATTAATTAAGTTGTAAAATTGTGCAAACATGATACTACAAAAAGTCATGTACACTACATTACTAGAAATGAATATTCCTTGAAGATTTCTAAAATTTTAATATTATTTCAATACATATCAAAATATAACATAAATTATCTAAAAAGAAAAAATAACAATATATATATATATATATATATATATATATATATATATATATATATATAATCTAAACACACACATTTAGCTAGTTTAGGAACGCATGAATACATACATACTTGGACTATAAAATTGTTTGTCTATAAAAGAGATCTATTGGTATAGAAAAATTATAAAAAATTCAAATGCATTATTTTCGAACGGTTTGGTCCGGTATTTTTCGGTTCTCAAAATCTAGGACCGATCCCGTGCCCGTTTCAAACGGTTCGATTTCGGTACGAGACAAAAATCTATAGAACCGTTTAAATACCCGGTAGTCGGTTCGGTACCATTACGGAACGGCTCGGTACCGGTTCGGGTTTTATGCCCACCCCTAGTATTTCCGTTACTTTTTTAGTTATGAAATAATGACCATAAGTCCATAAATGACAAAATGAAATTAAGTGATTTTTAGGTTTTTTTCTCAAAAATATTACTAAAATAAAATGTATTTACACTGATATGCATGACTGGTAATTACTACTAGTACAATATAGTGTCATGGTCACTTAAATTTAAAAGTTGAATATAAGTTGTTATGATTAAGTTACTACTATAGTCATTAATCACAATTTTGTAAACACTCTATTTTTGTCATAAATATGTAATTATTTTGAATATTTATATTTTAATAATCATAATGATTATCATTATCATTTAGCATTTGCACAATTGCACCTACATTATATGCTTTAATATTATTTTTGAAATCTATTGTAATCACACGATAATCTGATATTAGAACATTCACATTGATTTACCCTGTACTAAATAACTTATAAGTTATAACTCTATATGATTTTACTGTATGGATATTATTTTTTCACAAGAATCACAAACATGTCTTTTCAAGGTTAAGATTCTTCTTCACTCTAATTCCTAAGCACCCATGACCGCCAATCCGCCATGAACTTCAATAGTGTATATCCTTTAAAACCAAATATGTTTTACATGTCACAATTCTTTTTGACTTAATTCATCCACGTTGGTATTTCACAAAACTTTAATGAAACTACAAATCTGCAATTATACAGAGTATTATTTTATGTGTGTGGCGCTCGCTATATACTTCATCATATGATCACATGATGACAGATGAATACAACATACTCAGCTAGAATCTAATTCCTAAGGGGCCGCTTGTTTAGTTTCAATTGACTATTTGACCACTTTGTTTTTGCTTCTAATGCAAAACAAAAACTGTCCGAGTGACTTAAACCTGTGCTAGATGCCAAGTACCTTGTGTTCTAATAGCATCACTCGGATGCCCTCAAGGAGCCGAAGGAGGTCACATGTTCGCATCACATCCCAATTCAAGGATGTTGGCTTAACTTAGAACATATACTATAATAGTTTAGAAAAGTTTACAAAAAAACACATCCTAGATTAGTTTTGGTCCATGTCAATCGTAGTCAGTTCCACTTCAATCATATTGTCATTTGATTTTAGTTTGCCGATTTTTGCTCAACCACACTCTTTACCTTTGTCCAGATATTCAAATAAAAGACCAAAAAAACGCTTCTTTTGATCAGGGCGATCAGAAATCTGATGTTTGGTTAAGTTTGGGGTGGAGGTGGATACAAGCCAATTTCATTAGAATCAGCCAATATCCCAAGTTCCCAACTCCCAAATGCAAGTGAAGAACTGAAAATGCCAAGGTGCATTATGGTCTTGATTCTTGTCCAGTCACTAACTCCCAAATATTGGATTTTGAAGTAAAATATTGTTGAATCATCCAAAACCAACCAGTCTAATCCAATTCTAAAGGAACCAAACCAGTATAAACAATTCTGGTTTAACAATTGTTCACCTTTTAGTTTCCAAGCAAGTAACAAGGATCGTCACTGAAGTCAATCACATAACTACCTTTTTTTATTGTGATGATTAAGAATTTCTAAATTAACACTGTTGATACAATAACATAATATTCTTTTTCAACTTTCCGTGAGCATTAGAACCCATCCAAAATAAGAAAAAATTACATACTAAAACACCGTTGCAACTTTTTGTTCAACTAATGGTTTATATGATACACAAGTGCATTAGGGAATAATGAAGCACAAACTACCTGGAGGAGACTTCACCTAGCAACCGAGCTGAGGCCCTCTTGCACCATTTATTGTCTTGACTTTCTCATAATTGAATGATGGTTAAATACAGGATACATTTTTTTTTTAAATATGGTTAAGGCACAACTATATGAATGAAAGCTTAGTAGAACTATGGGTTGTCAAACAGGCACCTCCGGATCGTTGTAGTGAGTTCACCCGCTGGAGTTGGGTGAAGAATGATGATACATACTGCGAAACAAACAGCAATGGCAGTGGTTGTGAACACAAGCGGACGAGTAGCAAGAAACGTCTTTGCAAATAAAGGGCTACAAGACTTCCGTTCTTTGGTGAGATCCACACTCTCTGTCGTGATATTCAATAATGGAACAGCTGAGCTATCATTTGGAAATGTCAATCTCGACTCTGACTTGCACATATCATCCTGCATTGTAAATATCCACCATATATAAGCAGAAAATATAATCTTTCAGAGTTTGAGGTGCACATTTTGTTAACAAATTCACAAAGCACAAAGATCTCAATATACGTTTACAGTTTACTTAAATAGGGAGAGCACAATTTCGTATAAAAAGGACCAATCGAAATGCAATTTGGACCTATTTTAGATTGAAACTTCGAAATGTTGACATATTTAAGCTTTCAAAAGAGATAAGTTTCTTATGTGAGAGCTGCTAGAGTGCTAGTAACTGATCTCTTTAGTCCAAACTGCCAGCGTCTTAAAAAAACAGTGTACCATAAAAGCCTATCATGCATATCTAGATAATTTGGACGAGGCCACTTTGTGGGAGTGTTAAGGCATCCCCCACTAACAGAACATAAGGTTACAAACTCACATTTAAGGCTTTGAGTTACTCCTCTTATATAACTAACCTTTTAGATAGAACCACTTAGTTATAATAAGAATTACAGAGCAAAAAATCAATCCATAGAGAAGAAAACACCAAAAACCATATGATGGAATAAAGCAAAATGGCTCATTCCATGCAATTTTTGAAGCGATTTTCACTTTGATCATCCGGAAACAGTCTCTCTGCTTTAGTGCAGGGGTAAGACTGCGTACATCCGACCCCCCCCCCCCAAACCTCACCAAAGGTGGGAGCCTTTGCGGCACAGGGGTAATGATGATGATGATGACATTTTTTATGTGAAAAGCATACTAATGACAAGGTGGCTATGTACCTATGCAGGGGCATGATGGACTAACCTTATTTATAACTGGAGCAACAGCTTGCAATTCATTTTTGCAGGTTTGAGTAAACGATGTCCCCCCTCTTGTAGAACTCCCGACAAGAACCTCTCTCTCCTTTAATCTTTGAGAGAGGAATACTTGTGCACTTTCTAAAGTCACAAGGAAACTATTCATTTCAGAAGCAGCAATCTTAGCAACTGAACTACTGTCCATCACCATTTTAATGTGCGGCAAAGCTCTTTCTAGTATTGAAGTTGACTCATTTTCTATCAAAAGGTTTAATAACCCTATGAATCGTTGCATGAGATTACATGTCAAAAGTTGAATGGTTGCCAATACCGGCTCCCTTATCAACCATGCAACATCCAGCATGAAATCTGATGATTCTGCATGACGCAACTTGGAATGCTCACAAGAAGGACAGCTTGATACAATTCCAGCACCCTCAGGGGGAAGAGGTTTATTAAACACTTCTAATATCCTCTCCATATCTGCACATATGTCCTTGCTCGCAACAAGAACAGGAACAAAGTTCGACAAGCCAGACTCATTTTCAACCTACAAAGGAGTTTAGTTAAAGATGCTGCAAAGGCAAACACCAGACAACGAAGCAAAACTATGGTCTTCTTGCTTAAGAGATAAAATTAAATTCAAGATATAATTTGCATTCTGTACACATAGATGATCACACACAATTTATTCTACAAGTTTGCTGTAGAAAAGAGGGATTTATATGTGCATTATTCCATACTTATAAACAACAAGACAAGATCTTTAAACTCATTCGAGAAATGAGAAAATGGATGTTGCAAGACAAACTTGTTTACCCCCTGCTGGCATGCTTTCAGTATAAAACATAAATTCTGAAGAAAACGGATATTGTAATTCCTGGTCATTCTAATGTACATAAAGTATTGACAAACACCAAATGCATGACTACCAGAACTTTGATAGGAAAAAGATGATGCAAAAAAAGACATATTACATGGATGGAAAGAAAAATGAATACACATAAATACTCTAGTGTATGCCTTACCTCAATAAATGCAGGGCCATATAGATCTGCATTGATTTGAGGAACACTGACCTTCATCAACTGATGGTCTAAACTACTAGAATCTCGTTCTATCTTACAGCACGGGGTAACACAAAAATCATTTGCTAAATACTTCCCAGAAAATGATACAAGAAAGCTGTCATATGCGAGAAAAGACAGGTTTAGTGTTTTTTATAACAATAGATACTAGAATTAAAAGGTGCCTAGAGACTAGAACAGACAACTTCATTTTCTTGGAAAAGTAACAAATGTGGTTTTCAAATTGGCATTCATAGTCCAGTGCAGCCAGCGCTCAGAGTAAAGAAATATCCTTCCTAAATTCATAGGCAAAAAAATCACAAATAATGACAGCCACATAAGAGACATTGCTTAAGAGGAACAAAACAAAAGGTAGAAGCTATATCTTTCTTAGATCTGAAGTAAAAAAAGGGAGAAAAAAAAAAGAAAAAAAGAGAAAAAAAGGAGGAAAAAAAGAAAAAAAAAAGAAAAAAAAAAGATCTGAAGCATGAACCAGTCATCATTACCAAAGCTTGACTAAAAAGGGATGCAAGTTTATGAGAGCAAACATCTTCATATATTCATTATAGTTGTAAATAATGAAATATGAACTTTGGCAAGAGAATCAAGATGATGTGAAATAGAATGATAAGCTTATATGAAGCTGTTTTATCATCGACTGTCATTGATACTTTTATGCTATAAACTTACATGACAGACAAATGAAGATGTAAAGTACAATGATTAACCATGTATAAAACTGTCTAATCCATGTCTGGCACTGATAGTCATACCGGAATTTCGACTGAAGTAGATTGGTTCCACATACAAAGAACTCCATTGGTTTGCCAGCCTCAAAGCAAATAGGATGCACATAGTTGAGCACTGGACTTTTTCCTTTTAACTTGACTTTCATTATCGATGTTCCTCCTGACAAGTAACTCAATAGATTGTAAAAAAGGATTTTTAATATAAAAAAGCACATCTTCAGTTAGACGCACAGACATATATACACACATGTAATATGAGGGCGTGTGGTTGGGTTCAAGTGAAAACAAGTCATCATCATTCATCATCATTACCCCAGTGCCGCAAAGGCTCCCACCTACGGTGGGGTAAGGGGGGTCGGATGAACGCAGTCTTACCTCTGTACGACTGTACTAAAGCACAGAGAGGCTGTTTCCGGATGACCCATAGTGAAAATAGCCTCCAAAATTGCATGGACTGACTGCTGCTTCATAACAAAGAAGCGGTGAGCCATTTTGCTTTATTTTATCATATTCTCAAGTCAAAAAATAGTGAATCTTTGGCATACATATTGGTGCACGGAAGAATGGTGGACTTTATCGCATGAAAGTGTTGTCTGTTGACTAATTAAATGGTCATTAATTGTTATATCTACCCATTCACTGTATTAATATAAATGACTTAGGTGCATTCTCATTTGTCATAGGAATAACTTTTTTATTTGAACCACAATATCTCTCTCACTATCTATACACGCGCAGATATACATACATATGTGTGTGTGCGCGCCCGTGTGTGTGTACTATGCCACATATCCCTCATCCATTATGCAACCCCTGCCATCTTACCTTTAGTAACACGAAATACCATGTTATTCAGATAAACAAGGAAGGCGCCTCTTCCAAGGAGCATATTTCCCGGCGAGAGCACAAGTTCTTGCAACTGTACTGTTGGCTCTTCTAGCAACTGCAACAAAATGTTGTATAATTATGCTGTTGTATATGCGATAAGTAAAAAAAAGTGTGCTTAGTTAACACGATACTTTTTAGCCATGTACTGAAACTCCAAACCAATGCACTCAATTTATAACCCTGAGGTAGCGAGGTTCATTTTCAATTGAAACTCATTGAGCTATGGAGTTCAATACGAATCAACTAGAATCTCTTATTCCAAGACGTCAACAGAAATTGAATGTATACCGCCAACAAATTAAAGCAAAAAAAAATCAGTGAATTGATATGTTGATGAAACATGCCATATTTTTTCAAATCAATAATAATTCTTAAAAAGTTAGGATGTTCTTAACATGGAAGACAATCTATGCAATGAAACATGCCAAACCCAAAGTTACCTTTGCCCACTTGAAATGTGGCATTGCAATAAATACTGTCAGAATTGTACAGCCAGGACGAATATATCCCTCCAATTCAACAGGCATGCTGGCCAACCATTGAAAAATCTGTTGCAATGTTTACTATCACCTTATAAAAATCTGAAATTTTCATTGCAAGTAACAATGGAACTTCAATTATATACTAAACTGTAATAGTAAGCCTTAAGTACTTGGTGACGTAGGCGACGCGGGAACTCTGCAGGGTTCCAGTCATAAAGCTTGAATGAGATCCGACCAGTAGGGCACTACAAGAAACCATTCTATCAATTTGAAGCATTTTGAAATGTCTCAGAGTAAATTTAGAATGTAGTTTGTAAAGAAGCAATTTGCATTAGCCCTACAACAGAAGATAGTGCACTCCTGTTGTCACAATTGGAAGGAGAATGAGTGTCTTTTTTGTTTTCTTTCCCTTTTTTGCTTTGTATTTCACCAGAAGCTGGAGAAGGTATAATGCTATCACTCTGAATATTCTGGGTACCCGGGGTGGAGCAAAGCGTTGATAGCTTCCCTTCAGATTCCAAGGGTACTTCTTTTTCAATTATTTGGCTGCTCATACCATTGCCATCTGTGCACACAGACTCCTCTTAGGAACAAAAAATTCAAAGCTTAAAACTTCATGCTGCTTCAATTTTTATTAATTATTATGATGAAGATCCATGGTCTATTTATAAAAACTCTCTTAAAAAGAATAGAAAGGTGGTCCTTTCTCCTTTGAAAAGCTCCTAAACTATGAAAGTTTTATAGATCAATCATGTACACCTTAGTCTAGTTTTCAAATTCATTCTCATGCTTTTACTCATAAGACATATCCAAACGATTAATGACTGAGCAATTGACAACTATATCAACACAGCATTCTAGAAGAAAAAAGATTGACCTAGAGTTCAAGGTTCCTGAATCACACAGGATGTGGGAGAATGACCCACATTACTGTATATCTGATGGGATACTTTGAGTTCAATGATACCCACATGGTCAGCAGGTATTTTAAGACTGTAAGAAATTGGCATGAATCATTTCAAGGGAAAAAATTATGAACATTAGAATTAAAAAATCCAGTGATGCTCCGAAAGAAATAAAGTAATTGTGATCTTATAAGAGAGAAAACAATTGCAGCAACGCCAACAATTCAATTGCCAAAGTACTACAACAGTGGTGTGACTGTGTGAGACTGAGCTTTACCTTTGCTGAAGTCCTCATCAAAACAACCCTCATCAGCTACTAAAACCTGTTGAGGTTCTTTCTCCAATGAGCCCTTTGAATCTACAGATTTCCTTCTGCGTCTATTGTTATGGCGCTCAAGTTTCCTTCGACAACTACGCTTACCTTCATCAAAGTCCAATAAAACATGAAACCTGCAAAGAGAATCAGAGCATTTAAAGTTTAGTTGCTCTATCTGAAATTACTCACCTTAGTGGAACTCAAAGTTTTTCCAAGTTGAAAGATGTTGATAGGCAACAAAAGTAACAATCAAATGATGATGTACAAATGATGCACTAGCAAATATTATTCACATTGATAGTAAACAGAAATGAGAACGATCAATGTGTTTTACAAAGATAGTATTTCTTGCAAGCAATTGCAATCTGCAATCAAAATACAAGGGATGCAGTTAGAGCAAGACCCCGAAAATGGGCAGACATCTTAAGGTGCTACTTTTTACATTGAAGCTCATTGTTACAATGAGCCCAGATTTACAGTGTACATCCATAATGCTATGGCGTAAATTGAAAATGTCTCTATAATCAAGGGACAAAAATCAGAGAATATTTAGAAATTTTCCATTTATAGCAGATCATAAGAGGGCCTGATATCATAAGCTATAATCCCCTAGACAGCTATTCTGCAATGCAGGATTAATAAAAAATAAACCTTGATACGGTGTAGACTATAATTATCTTCAGTTTCATAAGTTACGGGCAATAACAACCTATAGGTGAATTTTTAAAAAACTGGAAACTTTTAACTTTTAATCCTTTAGATTGAACATGACACGTGCTGGAAGCTCCACTATAGCATGAATGCATGATCGTATATTCAAATCAATGATACATATGAAAGAAATGAGTGAAAATGAGCATACTTGCCACACTGTTGGCAATATCTCTTGCTCTCGCCATCAAGAACAACGGATATTGCGTTAGCACAGTCCAGGCAAACCCGATGTCTTTTATGATAACCTTTGAGCTCACTGATATCAGCTTCACAGTCAGGCACTTGACAAAGAGCGGTGTGCAGACCGACAGCAGGGGCTCTGGACGTGCGGGCCTTCTTCTTCCCTGCAGAACCAAGAGCAGCCAGCTCCTCCTCCTCAAGCTGCTCATCTATCTCTGGGCAGGCACAGGGGATTCGTCCGGCCAGAAAGTTGGAGCAAACCATCCTCGGGTCTCTCTTCCTGACCCGACTCGGATCAGCATCCCCATCAGAAGTCGTAGTTGGAACATTCGGAGAGGGTAAATCCGGCTGCAGCAGGGGCTGCTGGTCCTGGATGGAATCGAACGAGATGTTGAGCTGATCGTCGAGGCTGAACTCCAGCAACTCGGACCAATCGAAGAGAGAGGAGGAGGCAGCGGGGTCATCAGGCGAATGCAAAATGTCAGACGCCATCTGGGTGCTTTTCGATTGCGGTGACGGCGGGTGCGTCGGGTTTTCCGTAACCTCCGAAATACTCAAGTATGAAATCCTGAAAATCCGGCAGAGAAAGGCTCCAGAGAGGAGGTTTAGCGGAGAAGCAAAGCAAGGAAGTGGCTATGGTCAAGACTGAAAGAGAAGTAGGGTGGAGGCGAATGGTGAGATGTAAGAATCCGGTATAGCGGTAGTTGGGGACTTCGTGGTGGTGGCGTTTGGTGGCAGCACGGAAACGACATAATGTGGGAGAATCCGGTGAGTTACTTTTTCTTGATTTTACAAAATTAACCTTTTTACCCAAAATCCAAGACAACTAACTTATCTTACTGCTCCCTATTTCAAAGTGAGTCCTGCTTGGGGTACCCCAATTTGTACCTCAATCTGTACACCGTCTGTGTACCCCAAAGTACTCTTTAATTACACGAAATTTAAGAAAATGATACTGTTTAGCATTGTTTTGACATTATTTGACACTGTTTGATATTATATTGCACTGTTTAATTTACCAAATAAGGAAATGAGATTTTTTAAGTAACAGACCAAAAAAAAGTGGAATGTTTATTTAGGAACGAAGGAAATGCTCTCTCCGTCCCGTAATTAAGTTCCTACTTTCCTTTTTGGGATGATCCATATTAAAGTTCCTACTTCAAACCTTTCCTTATTTGGCAAATGATTTACACCAAAAGTGCCAAACAGCGCCAAACAGTGTTCAAACAGTGCCAAACAGTGTTCAAACGGTGCACTCCACAGTACAGTCAAATTTATTTCTTGATATGTGTGAAGTCAAACTGGGAACTTAATTAAGAACCAGAGGGAGTACTTTTTAGCATGACTATTGTTCTATGTTGCACGGAAACATGAAAATCACGAGCGAACGGGAAACGAGAAACATCATCTTTTACTCGAAAACAACAGTTTCTAAAGAGTTTTCGTAGAATTTCCGAAACGAGAGCGTACACTTTTTCAAGAGTTTATATGCTACATAGCTATTGATGGTTTTATTAGACCGGGTATGGGTATACCCGGCTCCTATCCGCCCTGTTGTGACCAAACCAGTGCAGACCAAACCATGTCAGACCTAATCAGAAAACTTCAATAAAAGTAAAAACATCTTTAACAACAAAGAATTCATTCCCGGTAAGTTATCCTTTCTTCGAAAATGTCCTTAACATCCTTAACATATCTACACCTTTTTGTGTACACCATTCGCACATCTTGTACGTCTACACTGACATAATTGTTTGTGTATATACAATTTGTCTAAAAATATAAAAGTTGTCTATATACAAACAATTATGTCTATGTAGACAAGCAATGTGCGCGAAGCATGACTAATTGCATGAGTAGTCGATGAGAAAGCCACTTAAAACCATCCATCTCAATAGTTTTCGAGCAACAAATGTCATTACAAAGGGATGACACCCCCATCCCTCAGCACCCTGCAGCACCGGTCGGACAATTATCTGACAGGATGTAAATTGGATTTTAACCACAAACTGACAGATAGAGAATAAGGCTCAGGTCCTGGTACTTGCAGACAAATGTCATTAAAAGTAAGCACATAAAAGGCATCTAAATGCCATAAACCCTTCCTCAAGCATGTAAAAGGGTTAAGAGGTTACAATTTTGTTTGCATAGGCATTTTTCCCTAAAATTCACATTTCATCATTTTTATGACACATCCGCGCATATGAAAATTAGTTCTTTTTATCAAAGAAACCACATCATACTACAATCATCCTTGTGATCAAATTGTACAAAATGGATTCATTTAACATAACTGTACAAAATCGAATGAGCCCGCATCGAATCCAAATCATTTGCAATTTGGTTTGAGTTTGATAACATTTCTCCCAAACCGTATAAATCGAACCTAAATCAAGAAAACCGAATAAAACTAAACTGGACTAAAAATATTAATAAATCCTCATATATTCTTCCAATCCGTTTCAAACCGAACCTAACCAAAAATTGAAAAAAAAAATCAAACCAAAAATTGATAAAACCTGAAGCGAAACTGATATGCACACCGTTACTTGTGAGGTAGACCTCTACAAATCTGTTAAAAATATATACCAAATATCATGTTTTTAGCAGTGGTAGTCTACGTAAGTTTGTGTAAAATGGGGAATTTCTATGGGATGGAAAATTTGGTATATTTTCCATTCACACATGAGAAATAAGCAAAAGGTATAATAAAAATAGAGCAACAACACTTCAGAGACAAGAACCACATTTAGTGTATCAAGACCTGCCATCAAGGACATGATGTTACAGAATGTGTTATAAATCATCATCAAGATAATGCCAAACCACATAATGATATGAATGATTCACAATTTGTGAAGAGTGCAATTGAAAATAGTTAGAACATAAAGTCACTTTCCCGTCACGAAACAATATATAGACCTTGATGTCCCAAACTAAATTTTTTCGTGCAATAGATTGTATCAAATAAAAAACCCATCAAGTCGGCCCAAAACAACTGGCCGAAGAGTTAAATGAAACTAGTAGGTATTTTTCATGTTTTACTTTTTCTATAAAATTAATTATAATACATATTCGGATCATGACTATGTGATGTGACTAAAATTAAATTCGATACATAATTATTCAAACTTATTAATAACATATATAATATTAATGTAATTAAGGAACTAAAACTGGTAGTTATTTTGCATGTTTTATTTTTAATGTTTTTGCTTAGTCAAAGATTTCGAAAGTAGCCTATTTTTGATGTATTTATGTTGATGTTAATTTTGAAGAAGCAACTTGTACATGATTTTAATTTATATAAAATATGGCAAAAGGATAAATTATGCATTCAAATACATTTGAAGTTTAATGCTTTTCGAACAAGATACAAATATATATAATCACAATGAGCAAAGCGAATACAAATATAAAATAAGATCAAAGTAATAACGAATGAATATTCAATAATTTATACGAATCCAAATAATAATATCAAATATTCGGTTCAAATCAATTCGTTTATAACCCTAGTTGGGAGGATGATATTGATTTTTTGGGAAGGATTTTTAGACATTTCACTAATTCTTTTATGAATTAGTAATATCTTGAATTCTTCAAATCTTGAATGAATTTTTAAATCTATAATGTAACCTTGAATGATATGTCTTTGAAATTGAGTGTAACATATACTCCCTCCGTCCCCTTTTAAATGGGACGGGAGATGGTGGCACGGGTTTTAAGAAAAGTGAGTTTGTGTGGTTGATATTAAATTAATTGATAAAGTAAGAATAAAGTAAGAATGATTTTGAGCCACACAAAGTTTACGAAACAAGGTATGAGGCAATTAAATAGGGACATCCCAATATGGTAAAACGGGACATTTAAAAGGGGACGGAGGGAGTATAGTACTACACTTTACAATCAATATAGAGGTTTTCACAAAAATAATACAAATAAAAAATTAACGATCAGAATAGAACTACTTTAAAATGATTCAATAAATAAAGAGTTGGCTGCATTAGCAGTACTCTGAGCGGCAGTATCCTCAGCATCATCTCGGACAACCTCTTCCGTTAGCTGTTTGGGGTCTCCTAAACCCCACGTCCCTTAAGAAGATAACCCAGACATAACACCAAACCCAACACATAAAAAGCCAAAAGGGAGCTAAGCTAGGAGAATACCTGAAGGCTAAACTAGGGCTTTGGGATTAAGAGTAGAGAGACGCAAGAGCTGAAGCTAGAGAGGGAAGGCAGAAATTCGAAAACCCTGAACCAATGTCCTAGGACCAGTATTTATAGATCGAGGCATTGTTTCAACATTAAATTCTGAACCGACATGTGGTGAGGAGCGTCCCCGAGGACACGCGTCGCACAAAGACGAAAGGTCAAGTAATCATGACCCGACCCTAAGAGAACTGACCAGCAGCCGTAAAACAACTCTATGCATCGGAAGCCGGCGATACAACTGTCAACAATCGAGGTCTCATGGAGCCCCACACGGAAAAGCCGCGCGACATCCAAGTAAAAAAAAAAACCCACCTCTTCATGACACAAGGATAAAATGGCCAGGGCTTTGCAAGCAATCACACGGTCTAAGCGTACGTGCTCACCGTGCGACCAAGGATTGGAAATCTACTTCCTTATGTCCCAGGCACGCCCAAAATATTAGACCCAGGGCCATGTCCAAATACCCAGGAGGCACAATCTGCATATTGGCCTAATCGCGGTCTAGCCGGTCCAGGAATGTCGCTCGGTTGTCCCGCACAGCTAGTGCCGCTCAGCACGATTCCCTCACCTAGGATTCTCCGCTCGATCCAACAGCCACTCAATACAAAACTCCCTCAAGCAATTGGCAGGAAACCTCAGAATTGGTGGGGAGCGCATTCGATGCACCAGATATGGAAGATTTTATGGTTGAGGGTTTATCCATTTAGGGTTGAGCATATATCATCCCACCTACTACTTTTTAATATAAATAACAACTTTTATTTCATTGTAAAGGGTCGATAAACTTGTATGCTTAACAATAGACTTCTCTCTAGTTCTTCTGTAGCATTCAACTTGATCTAGGAGGTCGGAGCTCGGGCTCGTGTTGTAATCGTTCTAAGACTTCAATAAAATTGGATCCACTTTGCCTCTTGTTATTTGCTTATACATTCTGCCTCTTACTCGCCTCTAAACACTCACTAAATCCAGTCTACTAAAAAGTAACTCCTATGAAAGTCAAAAGACTGTGTTGGGCCTTTGGACCACGAGGACTTAACCTCAACAATATAATATATTAAAAAACTGCAGGGACACATGCCCCCCCCGGTCCTATTGTGGTTCTGCCACTGCTCAGTGCGGCCACATATATGAAAGTTAGCGTCGCCGCAGTTGAGACAAAATCCTAGCCGCCACAGATATGAAAACATAGGAGAAGACATCGTCCATGGATTCATCATTCAATCTTCGCCTGTCGTTGAGCCACTGAAGTACCATTGCTCAGCGTGGCCACATATATGAAAAGTTAATGTCGCCGCATTTGAGACGAAATCCTAGCCGTCACAAATATGAAAACATAGGGGAAGACAACGTCCATGAATTATCGCCCAATCTTCGACTATTCTTGAGCCACTGAAGTACCAAATTGATGAAGAAAATTAGTAGAAGTTGTAGCGGACAACGAGAGACACTAGTGATGCTGGCTTCCAGGAGACATGAGTAACATTGGCGGTGCTAGTGTCTGGAGGAAAGGCGGTGGAGGCTGGATGGTGAAGCGACAAATCTGAAATGGAAGAA